CACATGCGTGAAAAGCCTGACTGAGATCCTCAAAATTTAATCTCTTTCAATCCAGGAAGATGGGTGACTGATGGCGGTTCTACGATCGTAATAAGTAGGTATAACAGTCTTTATTCTAAAGGGGAATAACGCGATTAGAAAGAGAGAGAATATATCGAGTACTAGATTTGGAATCCTGAGACTATTGACTTAATTTATGTATGCTTGGTATGTTTCTACTATTAAACCTATTGTAATCAAAGAACAAGCATTACTTTTGTGACTGATCCTCCCATGCCGACCAATTCTCTGAACGTAAAACCTTGAATAACCAACTAAAGAGAATTCCTGTATCATTGAAAACCTGGAAATGAAGACAGTTTCTGCACCGATGCATATCAATTTTACTTTTTTTTATTTTTCTTTGTAATGTGACCGATCATATCTCTCCACAACTTCCTGTCCTTTGTTTCTGTAAGCGTTGACTATTTTTCATCCCTATTTGTCTTTGCCCTACGATCTATTCGCACAAACTCGATACGTAGGTTACTCGTTGTTTCTCATCGCTTCTCTTACCTTCTGTAAGCCCTGTGAGTGCTGAGTTCTCCAAGCCCTCTTTCCTCATTATGTACCCCAGAATTATAAGTTTAAATGGGATAATGTGAAATAGTGAAATACTAAACACTTCAAATACCTCAGTGCATAGGTCAGATATAACAAATTTAATATAGGACATAAGGACATTGAACACCAAATAAAACTAGAGCCATATTCTTAAATAGCCTTGTCAAATCGAGGCTTTCATATTATGTCATGCATGGCAACAAGCCCGTTCAGAAATATCAAAACTGTCAGCGCTTTGCAACCGCTTTCTCAAATCAATGGTTAAAATGGCTTTGACGGGATGAAACCAAAAAAATTCCTGCATAATTGAAAACCTGGAAACGAAGACAGATTCTACAACAATAAATCTCAATTATTCTTTTTATACGTTTCCTTTGTACAATGTTCTTTCAAGGGGTGGCCGATTATTCGTTTTTACCACCGCTTCTTTTACCTTCAGTATCCCCTGTGAGTGCTAACTTCTCCAAGCCCTCTTTCCTCATTATGTGTTCCAGAATTATAAGTTTAAAATAGTAAAACATCTTTTGGTAATGTAAAAAATCACTTGGAATAAAGATTGTTTTAGTTACTATTAACAAGCTAAATGAACGGAAATAGAACTAAACATTGAATATATCTTAACAATAAAAGGCCTGAACGACTACGCTTGTAGATCTTTTTGTAGTAATACACGTATCCCTCAGGGTTCTATCCTTGGACTTACTTTGTTCTAAAGTTTCATCAAAATCATTTCTGGTGTCATCAGTTCTCAATTTGATATCTATATTGATGACGCAACTATTAATTCCTGTCTCGATAGTAAATCTGACCAGTTCGATAAGATCAAATTGTCAGCTGATCTAAAAAAAAAAATAACCTAAATTTGCTCTTAACTGGGGCAACGAATAGTTAATCATCTGAGAGACCGTTTTTCTGTCTTCCATCAGCATGGCTGATGCTAACCTCCAGGATAGTGACTCGTTGCACCTTATAGGACTAACATTCTCCACTCGCATAAAGTGGAAAGATTATATTAAATCACTTGCTCGGTCTGCTGCTAAGAAAGATGGCTCACTGTGTTGTGTTAGACAATTTTTCTCTCCAGAATCTTTTACATATTTATAGGTCTACCATTCGTTCATGCTTTGAATATTGCAGCCACATATTGTTCGATGCTCCTGTTATATATTTAGAGAATCTTGATAAAACCCAAGAAATAATCCGCAATATTATTGTTCTTTATTGGCATCTCGGCTTCAGTCATTTTCCCACCACCGTGATGTGGTTTCCCTGTGGTTTTCTGTAAATATTTTCATGTTAATTGTTCTGAACTTTCCGCTATGGTATCTAGACTTTAATTTAAACTCAATACTAGATTGGCAACAAAGTCTCATCAATTTACAGTTGAAATGGCTAGAAGTAAATTCTATGCTAACAGTTTCTTGTCTCAAATATCTCGCTTGTGGAACTCACTTCCGGCTAAATGCTTTCCAGCCAACTTTGATCTTCCAAAATTTAAATGCAACGTCAATCGTTATATACAGTTTTCTTGATTCTTCTTCTGTTAATGTTCTCGCTTCTTAATAATGTTTCTCTTTTTTTTCTTATACTTTCAAACTCAGTTACCTCTTCTGTCTTAGTGGCTTTACTGCCTTGCTTGAAATTAAATGACTAAAAAAAACTCGTTTAAAAAACAGATATTTTGAGGAACAGACACGCACGGTTTACTTTTCCCGCTTCTGTCAATCCTCAAAATTCTAACTTTGATCTCATGAACGAAATATTTTGACACCGTTTATTAATCATTAAATTAAATTCATAATTTTAATTATGTATTAACGTTATAATAGTCACTAGAAAGACCTGTGAAAATTTTAGTTTCCCTATTTCAATTTTATTGAATTCTTTAGTTAATGATTGAATAAGCTGTGGTGAGTTCTGCGACAATAAAATATCTATAGAAATTCCCTTATCACAGCGTTAAGATATTTGAGCTTAACAACTTTAACAAAATATTGCAATAAAAAATCATAAATATGAATGCTGGTCGTTACTTTAAGAAGTGGGTTCAAATAAAGAATTGAAATTGACAACTTTTTTTTCCATTTCACTGAAACAGCCATTAAACACTTCTATCTTCCCTTGTTTCTTTCTTTCTTTTTTCTTTCTCGCTTTTTCTCATTGAAACCAAGTAGTGTCTTTTCTCCTCTTTCCACGCGATCAAAACGGAATAGTCGATTATTTATGAGGGCGTAACGGTCATGCGAACTAATGAAGGTGAAGACAAGGAGAATTATTATACGATGTTAGCTCGACAACAGAATTGGTGTCGCTTTGAAAGCAATAGTTACTCAAGCACAAATGCTTGTCTTTATCTGCTGCCTTAACTTTCACAACTGTTCCGCATATCAGCCGCTTCTATCATTCTTCCTTCCTTTCTTTCTCCATTTCTTTCTTCCTTATTTCTTTCTTTTTTCTTTCTGTTTTTCTTTTTGTACATTCTTTCCAACAGCAAATTATATAATTATACTTCTAAGCGACAGTTTGTTACATCACATTCAAACCCTCGACCAGATTCCACGCTCTTTTTCTGCTTCCATCTTTCGACGTTTTAAACTGTTTACACGGTAGCATTATCTTTGTCTTAGTTGCCCTGTTTGCGAATAATTTCCCGCGGTTGTTATATCTCATTAACTGTGATGGCGATTGTAGATATACGCATGCGCATATGAAAGTTAATATCGAGAAACAATGCGTAATTAGTAGACTAATGTAGTTAGTACACATTTGGACTTGTACCATGTTTAGTAAATAATTATAAGAAACTAAATACCATTGTATCTTTTGGGGTGCATTTGTCTTTCACTGTTTATCTATAAAATACAAATGTATTTGCATGTAAGCAGAGATGAAGATATATAAGGACAGGTAATGAGAGGTACTTCCGAAAAATACAGTTTCAGGTAATTAATGTGACTTCTAGCTCATAATAGATACGTTTAATGAAGGACTTGTCTATGTAAATGTAACAACTATTATGGGATAGGGTTAATATTTTATTAAAACTACAAAGCAGTTATCGTCTTAAAAATATTATTTTCGTGTAATGACTTGAAAATATTGTTCTGAATAGAGTAACAATTAAAAACGAACTTAACCAAGTGTTTTTCAGGTATTTTTTTTATATTGCCATGTTCCACGTAGGCAAACATATCCCTTTCTTTATTTTCTGTTAATTGCCTATCATTTGGGAAAGATAGTGGAGTGGTTTCCTGCTACCTTCTCTACGGTTTTAAATTCAGTGTTCTTTGCTTTTCAAATTGGTTGCCTTCCAAAGCTAGAGAACCTAGTCTACACTGCTATTTAACCAACAGCTGGGAGAGAAGAGACTGCTTCGTACGTTTGTGATTGAATGAACGAACCAGGCGAACTCTAAATTTAAACTCGGCTTGCCATTTTCACTTTCCGGGCCGATATCCGTTACACTAACATCATTTCTTCAAAATAACTTTATCGCTTATCTTGTAAAATTGAAGGGATACGGATCTCTGCATATTTATACGGGTAAACACCAACACACCTTTGAGTTTAATTAAATGTCTTTCTTTCTTTCTTTTTTTTTTTTTTTTGAAAAAGTTGACACTGGATATCCTTATTCCAACCACCCCTTTTATTAGATACTCAGTAAATTTCTACCAGCCCCTTAACTTAGTCTGAGACTATTCTAGAACAAAGCTTTTTTATTGGAATATTTAATAAAAGGGATAGTTGAAATAAGGATAGTATATTTAATAAAAGGGATAGTTGAAATAAGGATATCCCGAGTGGATTGTTCTCCGAAAAGAAAGAATATTCGTCCGGGACCGTCTATTTGAAAATCAAAGTTATATACCTGTATATTAATACACACTCACTGGTATGCTATGTGTCGTGTGTGTGAGTGTGCGTGTGCGATCAATCAAGTGTTCTGTCTATGCAATGGCGAGAAGAAAACTTTCTGTTGGACAATCTTTACCTTGCTAACATATTATTACCAGTGAGTTCGATCCTCCATGGATACCTGTCCAATCTAACCTAATGACAAGGTTAGTTTAGTCCAACCAATATCACCTAACAATAATAAGAATAAATCTGCCTGTTTGCCTGAATGAATAAGATTAATACAGAAAATTGATTTAATCTTATTCGTTTCCCGAGGGTTGGTTGACAGTTGTGTTCTATGCATTAGATTTTCTTGATATATTCAGTTAAACAAGACAGGACATTCGACGCCTTTGTCAATACCATTCGCTATCTTACTAACTTCATTTCAAAAGACAGATTCCTAATAATGTGACGTACACGAACTAAGCCCTGTCTGGCACAAGGAACATCCAGTTTGAAACAAGTTAATTTTCGATTATTTTGAAAGTGCACAGACCCGAGAACTATCACCACGATTTCTATCTCTCATTTTCTATCTCGCTATTTCAACTTCTCTCTCTCTCTCTCTCTCTCTTTCTCTCACCCCTTTCCTTTCTTTCTTTCTAATTCCCTTTCTCTCTCACACTTTTTCTCTCCTCCTCTCTCTATCTCTCTTTCTTTCTCTCTCTTCTCAGCCTAGAACGTGATGCTGATATCAATCACCAACTATTTTCTTCTCAACTCATATTAAAATTGATAATTAGAGGCCTAAATAATTTTCTTCTTCATGTCCCGTGACCTCTCAGCATGTGGGGCGATAATGGCTCTCCACAACTTCATGTTCCTTATAGCTCTTAATAAATTTTGTCTGTCTGTTATTTCTCCTATTCTCCATGCGCTGTTTTTCTCTGTCCCTCTTGACTTCAACCTGTCCTGAGAATATCAGATTTTCCAAACCTTGCCTCCTCATTATGTCTCCTAGAAACCTCAACTGTTTCTTCCTGATGTTAAGTATAATTTTTTTTTTTTTGTTTAATTTTTCTCCAAAATTTCGTCGTTGCTCACCTGTTCGATCCAGGGTATCCTCAGCATCCTTTTGTAAAGCCAAATTTCTATTGCTTCATGTCTCTTCTTCATCTTTGGGGAGATTTCTTGTCACTCACTTCCATACAACAAGACAGATATCACGTAACAGTTTAGTAGTCTTTTCCTTGTTTCTTGCGAAATTTTTCTATTTCGCAGTACTCTGCTTAGCTTCTGGAAAGCATTTTTGGCTATTCCAATACGACTTCAGATTTCAGTGTCACACTTTCCGTACTCTACTAAAACACTTCCCAAATTTGCGCACTTATTTGATTTCGGTATCTTCGATTTGCAATTCGCATTCCTTTTGCTAACAACCAGGTATCCTATCTTCTTTCAGTTGATGTTTAATCCTTTCTTCTCGTTTTCCTTCACTTCTGTAGAAGTTTTTGTAGTTTTTTTCCTTGTCTGTTCACAACACTGTCATCTGCATACTTTATGTTGTTAAGATTGTTGCCGCCAATAATGAATCCTGGTAGGTCTTCTAATTCTCTCAGAATCGCCTCACTGTATAGGTTGACCAAGTTCGAAGAGGCTCAGATTAGCCACAAATGAACTTCAGTATTCAATCTAAGACAAAAAGCATCATTATTCTTCAGACAGGCGTGTTTTAGAATAATTAATATCACGCATCAAATACATGTATTCAATTTCAGGTTACCAATTCCTTTTTCTATTTCTATTTTTTTTTTTTTTTTTACAGTGAAGTAGAGGGTTACAGGGTAAGAGGGACAGTTTATGCGGATGAGGAAGATCACGGTTAACCCTAGACTTGAACAAGTTATGATTGTAGTGATCGGGGAAACAACCGCTTGGAAGTCGGTTCCACAGTCAGTTCAGTCAGCTGCTCGAGTGAAACTTACTTCTGACCAATGGAATACGAGGGTGATTCAATGTGCGTAGCATAGCGTGTTCTAGCCGAGAAGTATATTCTGTTTATTACATTCCCCACCCCTCTCTCTCTCTCTCTCTCTCTCTCTCTCTCATTCTCATTCTCTCTTCTTATTTTATTTTACAAACTTCGTCACGTAATAACTTTTCCTCATTTTTTTTCTCTTTTTTTATTAATATTTTTCATTACCAATTTCTTTTTTATTTTATTTTCTTACTTCAACTAACATTAATAATATGCACGCTATACCGTTGTTGGTTATTAGCTATCTTTTGGTCAATATATGCACATGCGCTCGCTAATGAACGTGTATATGGGCTTATATGCATCGTTGAACCGACATTTGTGCAATGCATCTGGTCGACTGTCGATGCACGCGTGTGTTTGGGGATTTAAATAGAATATGCCAAAGGTTATTAATGTTTTAAAATTTAATGTTTATTATGGTTTATTATTTTAATTTTCTTCTTGGCTTTAAAACCAGTACTAATAATGGGAGTAATAATATATCTGCTTTTATGCAACAATTAACGTAGGTGTGCGCGATGCATCTGTTCGACCGTCGATGCAGACATCTGTTGCATGTTTATACAGTATATCCTAAAAGTTAGAGCTTTAAAATCAAATGTTTTTTTTTTAGGATAATTGGTACGCATTCGCAAAATCTAATAAGGTTTTTAAATATTGTACAGTTTATCCCAAAAGTCATTAATTAATTTTAAAATCTAATGAAGTTTATTTTGGCTATTTATTTTCAATGTTATTTGTTTGTTTTCTTTCTTAAATAAAATAATAGCAGCAGGAAAAATACTATTTTGAATTAATTCTATTATTATTATTATTATTATTATTATCATCATCATCATTCGATTTCTGCTATGGACACACTACCTACCAAGTCTGCGGAAAGACCTAAGGCAGGTCGTGGTGTGTTGTTATGGCCACATTTCGGTGAAGTTGCTAGCGTTACATAGACAAAGTTCTCCTTAGTGTGTGCTGTACTTAATAAGACAATTTTCTGTATGTCTCTTAAGCTGGGGTTTTCAGGATTCTTTCAATGTGTTGTTTTGTTTTTTTTATAATTCAAGTGCACCTATTACCACTGGTATTATTCTTGTTTCAATTTCCACATTTTTTTCTATTTCATTTCCAGGTCTTTGTATTTTTGATAGTTTTTCAAATTCCTTGGTTGCTATGTTACAATCCGCTGGACAAGTATCAATTAGTAGGCAAGTTTTTTCTTTCTGGTTTTTTTGACAATAATGTCCGGCCTATTTGCTTCCAATTTTTCTGTCTGTGTGGATGGTATAATCCCATAGAATGGTGACATCTTCTATTTCTGTAACCGGCGCTGGCCGATGTTCATACCAGTGTTTGCTTACACATTTTCCAAAGTGTTTGCACATTGTCCAGTGTAAGTATTGCCCCACTCTATCGTGACGATTTTTATATTCATTTGGGGGCAAGTATAGAACATCCTGAGATTAGATGGTCTATTGTTTCTTGGTATTTGTCAGAACCTGCATTTTGGATCCACATTATTATGTTGATATTTGCCTGAAAATTCCTAGTGAAAAACTCTGGTCTTGCGCTGCAAGAATAAAGCCTTCAGTTTCAGACTTTAATCCAGATGCTCGTAACCATCGATGAGTATTAACTTTATCAACATTGGGTTTATTTACGTTCTGGATATTGGCCATGCAGAGGTTTTCTTGCCAGCGTTGTTTCATCTGTTCAAGGGCTTTATCCTTTTTCTTTTTCATATCTTTTTGCAATAGTTGGTTCTTGGCTTCTGTTTTGATTTACTACAGAATCTACTAAATGTAAATGTTGTTTGTATTTACTGCTTCTTTTTATTATTGAATATTTTTTTCTTTCTGTTTTCATGTTGTTTCACTAATTTTATCATCCAGTCATTTGTTGTTTCCATGTAAGTTAGTAAGCCAATAGTTGTTGTCTTGTATGACAATTCTAGCTGAATAAGACCTCTTCCACCTTCTTTACGGGGTATTATGACGGTCTACATCAGCCTTTGGATAATGCATCTTATACTTAGAAAGAAGCTTTCTTGTTTTAGAATCCATTTGTCTGATGTCATTTAGAGTCCAGTTCAAGATGTTGAAACTATATTGGACCACTGGGATGGCAAAGGTTATTAATGGCCATAATTCTGTTCTGAGAATTCAATTCAGTTTTTAATACCAGTCGTACCCTTCTATAGTACTCTTTACGCACTATTTCTTTCATTTTCTTATGGTGAATTCCTTCATTCATTTATTAGGTACTTATAAGCTTCTCCTTGTTCTAAATCTTTTATTGTTACAGCAGGGTCTAAACTAATAGAGGAAGTTTGTTGTAGCGATCCTCGTAAAACTGTAGCTTTAGCACATTTATCCAAATTGAATTTCATTCCAATGTCTTCACTGAAGCATTTTACAGTTTGCAGAAGACCTTCCAGCTCATTGTCATTCCTAGCATACAATTTTAAGTCATCCATGTAAAATAGATGGTTTATTTTCTTTTGAGCTATTTTGTAACCGCATTCTGTCTTGTTAAGTTGGCTGGTTAATGCTATAAGTGATATACAAAAATAATAAAGGAGACAAAAGTCACCTTGAAATATTCCTCTATTGATGTTTATTTCGCCAGACTTATAGGTTCCATTTTTATGATTGAGGTAAAGTGTAGTTTTCCATATCGACATACATTGTTTGATGAAATTGATGATAACGGGTGATACCTTTGTACATACTTTAAAGACTTTAAGATCCAGGAATGTGGTACACTATCGAATGCTTTACGATAATCTATCCAGGCAATACTAAGATTTTTTTTTCCACGGAAGCAGTTTTCCAGGATCATCCTATTAATAAGTAATTGGTCTTTACATCCGTAGCAGCCTCGTTTGCACCCTTTTTGTTCAAGTGGTAGTATGTCATTTCTTTCCAAGAAGAAATATGTCTCTTATTATGTTTATTATTATTATTATTATTATTATTATTATTATTATTATTTGTGTATGTTATGTTTCCTGTCTTTTATTCTGTAGAGCCGGATACAAACTATGGTTCTTAGGCCCTATAGGAGAACTGTCATTTAATTGTTAGCACTTTTCTTAGTATATGGGATGTTGCTAGGAGGGCTATCTTCTGGGCAACTTGTATGTTGATGTTACCTAGGATTATTATTATTATTTTTATTTTCTTTGATTTCTGGCGTTTACACATTTCTTTCCGGGTCCCGCCCAGGGACCTAAGGTTAGAAAGGTTAGAAAATGGCGTCATGACACTTTCCACTGACAAAAAAAAAAAAAAAAAAAGAATTAAATTACATAGATAAAGCCCTTCGTAAGGTGTGGGCTGTACTTGTCTTATTATTATTATTATTAATATTATTATTATTTTGAATTATTCTCTTTAAATAACATTATATATATTGTTAGTATTATCATTTTATTTTATATATTATTATAAAATTATATTATATTATTATTTTATTATTATATTACTATATATTATAATTATATTACTTTTTTAATTATTCGCTTTAAACAAAATAAAATATTATGTATATTATTTATTTATTATATATGTATTATATTATTATAAAACTATATTATATTATTATTATTATATTATATCATTATATATTATTATATTATTTTGAATTATTCTCCTTAAATAAAATATTTTATGTATATAAATTATTATGTATATTTTTATTATTTATTAAATATACATATATTATATTATATTATTATTATATTATCTTTAATTTTTCTTTTTAAATAAAATCCATCATATACATGTGTGCGTGTGTATAAAGCTATTATCCGACGCGTTTCGTCTAATGTGGACATTTTCAATACAAAAACGAAATGAATTTATTGAAAACAAAGTAACTATTAACAACAAACAAAATGCCATTAACAACTAGAATAATTTAGAAAACGCTACTGTATTCATGCTGTCAACTGAAAATTTCGTTGCTAAGGACGTTTTGTCTGTTGTTAATAGTTACTTTGTTTTCAATAAATTCATTTCGTTTTTGCCTTGAAAAAATCCACATTGAACGAAACTCGTTGGCTAATAATACAGCTTTCCTACTGTCTTATCTTTATACATATTGTGTTTTTCTACAGGTTAACTTTGAGAAATTTTTCATATCTATCTATCTATCTATCTATATATATATATATATATATATATATATATAATAAAATTATATCTTCATCATCATATTATTTTAACATATTATTATATATAACTGTTATTATTATATTATACTAGCAGCATGACCCGGCGTTGCCCGTGCTTGATTCAAAAATCGTACGACTCGTACAGCAATCGCTATCACTTGACTTAAAATATTTTTTCCCTTCCTTGCCTTTAAAGGAGTGCCCTTTGCCGTGCTGATGTTGCTACATGCCTTACTTCTTGCCTATCTCACACTGCGAATTTTTTTCTAAGCTCTATACTAAACATTAAATCTGTTACGAAAAAAAGAACTAAACAAAATGAACACAAAACGATCAACTTTAAGAAAGGACTCGTAACTAGAAAAACCGAATGAAAAAAGAATGTTAACAACAAATACTTTTTCACACCCAACCCAGTTCTGCGGAATCTTAATCAACATTGAGTTTAAGCAAGCGAATGAGCCAATTGGTGTAAAGTGCCATGCAGATTTAAATTTTTCCCACTTTTGACGAATGCAACTATCGATTTTTTTTTGCATGCTAGCATGCTAGTTGACATTCGTGTCAGTCAGCTGTTGGCTCTCACGCTGGCCAATAGAATCTTCCTGCCTGTTCGTGGCAGTCAGCTATAGGCTCTCACTCTGGCCAGTAGAAAAGGGCCGCAGACTACATGAAAACTGCCGTAGAAGCATGAAAAAATCGATTATTTTCACTATCGATGGGAGTTGGGAAATTCAAAGTTGGTCTTGGCCTTCCCGCTAACTTGGAGCATGTGCATGTAAATATTGGTGCAAATCCGTCGAAAATTGCGGCCGCGCATTTATTACACACACACACACATACACACACACACTGCCTTTTATAGATAGAGATGTAATTATTCTCTCTAAATAAAATAAAATAATGCAATAAAGAAAAATTACTTATACATTAAACTAAGAATGTAATTGGTATACGTTCTACTGTTGGCTTCATAACAGATATTTGATGTCTTTTTCTATAACTGCTGACAATTTTTGAATTTCTCTACAGATATTTCCATTAAGCTGCGGGATTTTCTGTTTTCTTCATATACATGAAGTTCTTTAAGTAAACTCAAAAGAAAAAGTCAGGATACGTCAAATCAGACAAATGTAACGATCACTGATGACGTTTGCGCAATACTGTGTATGCACGATTTTAAGTATGTGCTTAACGACTCGTAAGTATGTAGATACATTTGCTTATATTCGTAAAAGTTGGTTTCGTGTATCTTTGTGTTTCTATGAGATATTTCCGCGGTGATATGCGTAAACTGTCCACTCCTTTCCAGACCCCACCAAACAGACGACTTGGCATTAGTTCAATATAGCATGTATAGTTGGTCACATTACCTCATTATTCTATTGAAGAAATATTGACAACTGGAAAATTACTGCTCATTTCTCCCTGCATTTTCAAAAATATATGGGAGCAAGAGAAGAGCAATGGCGGTGAATTAGATCACCAGGTCCATATCGCCTGCGGGCACAAACTCACATGGCGGGCGCCAGTGTTTTGTTTTCGCTGTAATTCTACTGGAGGCGAAAATGGTGGCCCTCTATTGACAAGCATCGATATACAATGTCAGACGAAGTGAACGCCGACTAATTCCTTCGTCGACTGTTTAACTCCCTGATTCTTTGTAGTTTTCTTGCTTCTTTCCATCTTAAATTAAGTATTTGCACAATTTCATTTTTAATTATTTTGCGTTTGTTCGTTTCTTCTCTGCTTTTTTTATCGTTCTTTGCTTGCTTTTTTTAACTTGCATAATTTTCTATTCATAAATACTTTCCTTTCTATCGTCTGTAGCCTTGTCTTTATTTTCCATATGCTTTTTATTCCACTTTTTTTTCTTTTTCCTTAACCATCTCCTTCTTATCTTTGATTTCTTTTACCTTTTCTCTTCTTTCCTATTTTATACTATATTTTCTGCCATCATTCTTTTTCTAAAATTCCCCTCAGAAGATGTTGATAACTTTTCTCCTTCTTTCTTTCTTTCTTTCTTTTATATATTTACTTACATGACCTCTTCGTATAGTCTTGCTTTTCCTTTTAATCGCTTTCTTTTTTCATCGTTTTTATCGGCCTTCCTCCCTTTTATATTTCTACTAACTCTTCGTTTTTATTTTTCTGTCTTTTTCCACCTTCTTTTTATTTTTACTTACTTATCCATCTGTATCTTACAATCTCTTTTCTTTCTATTTGTTTTTATATTTATTTATTTCTGTTATTTTTTTACTTTCTTAACCATTTCGTATATTCATTCTTTTCTTTTTAATTTCTTTCCTTTTTCATTCTTTTATCATAAACATTCATTCTGGGATTTTATTCTATTCACGTTCTTTTTTCTTTTTATTTTCATTGTTTCCTACACATTCTTCTTTTTTAGTGTTTGCTTTAGCTATTCCGACATTTTTCATTCATATTTCCTTCTTTCCATTTCTTTTTTATTTAATTTGCACCAGCCTTTTTTTCCCGCTTTCTTTCTTCTAATTTATTTTTTCATTTTTTTATTATCCTCTCTATCTCTTTCTACTTTTTTTCTTTTTTCTTACAGCCAAAGTCAACTATTCCGTTTTTCTCATACCTTGTTCTCTTTCTTACATAAATAATTTTGTTAACAAATTTTTCTTTCTTTTCTTCAAATCCCTTTTATAAGATTCATGCTTTCTTTTTTTTTCTATTTTCTTTTACTAAGTGATTATTCTTTTCTTCTATTCTTCACCTCTTCTGTCCATTATACTTTCTTCCCATCCTTTTGCTTTTCTTCCGTTATATTCCTTATCTCGTTCTTCTGTTTATCTCGTCTCTCTATTTTTTTTTCTTTTCATTCTTCTTTTTCGAATTTTTCTTTATATATATCTTGTTGCTTCTTTCTTATAGTTTTCTTCCATTTTTTCTTCCTTTTTTTATGAATAATTTTGATTTTTCCTCATGTCCTTTTCTTCTTTCTTTTTTTTTTCCTGGCGAATTGATTCATGCGGACGAACAAAGCGCATACATAATCTATCGTTACCGCAGCCATTATTGCTCTTCCAATATCATCAACACTGCCGTTTCTGTCTGCGTCTCATCTTCTCCTTTTTCTATTGCATTTTGAGATAACAGGTTCAGGTTTTACTTCAGCTTCTTTTTCCCTTAATTTCTCTTCTCTTTTTTTTTTCTCCTCTTCTTTCTAAGTGTTGCTTTTGTCAATTGTTGCGTCAATAGATAAAAAGAAAAAAGCCAAAAAACCTAATCTTACGTACGACATAAAGGAGGAAAAGTCCTAATAAAAAATGGATCGGAGAGTCACTTAAAGGGCAAAAAAATGCAAAATTATTAAACGGGGTTGTTTTAATAAGCTCGAGGAGGGTCGTAAAATTTTCTGAAAAAATATATTCTCTCTTCTATTTTGGCACCTAAGAGTTTATCATTGCAAAGAAAGATCATCAGACTGAAAATAAGAGATTGGCAAATATGCTGTAAATTAAAGAAAATAATAAAAAGAAGAAATGGGTCCCTATATTGCGAAATTAAATGAGGTGAAGAGAGAGGAATGAAGAGAGTGTGAAAATGCAACTCGACTGGAAGAGCTGCAGACAAAATACATTATAGAAAGAAATAGCGTCATAAAGAGAAAGTGTTGGGTGAACACACGACAAGAGATAAACGAGAATTAAAGGAAGAAAAGATATATGTAAGTGATCGTTTATTTTGCATCCTAATTATATATATATCGTTTCAGTATACAAGCGTTGTTACTAAACGAAGTGACTCAAACCACATTAACAAAATGCAGAACTAATATAACTAATTTCACACCAGAGCTACACGCAACGTCAAATCCAAAAAGTGAAATTGTATTTTCTCCTCTTATTGGTTTTCTACAATAATGATTAAATGCGTAAAGCAAGTGTGACAATTACTGGTCAACAAAAAAAAATTGAAATGGTGTCGAGGCTCCAAACATCTTTTTTAGCTAATTCAAGGGCGCTGAATCTGAAAATGGTCTTACTTTTTCTTGTTTAGCTACAGTTTTTGCTTTACAGATATTCCTCAATTAGGCGGGGGAGCATTTTTTTAATTTGTTTTCTGTATATATGATACTGACCGATGGCAATATTTCTCAAAATAAAATCATAGAAACCTCTCAATTCTTATTTTTTTTAAGCATTTCACCCCAAGCAAGGCGGGAAGCCACTAGGGCGCAAGGAATTACAGAAAATTTAGACCAAGATCAGATAGGAGTGATAGAAGAAAGGATGAGGGTAGTGGATAGATCAAGGCAACTGGAGATGTCGATTGACATTACACTTAAATAGCTGGAGATTTTTTAAACCAAATATATTGGTCTCCTCATTGAGAAATACTATTTTTGCAATAACACGCAGACCCTAAGTCTTTAAAAATAACACGAATGAATATACCAAACCAAGTATTTTCCTCAAATCATTTAATAAACTAACAGCAGAAATAAAGCCTTCGTGAACACAAGAACTATGGTAAACATTTTCTCTTTCTTGATTGTCGTGTTTAATGTTATTCATGGCCCTTTCGATAATCCATGGACAATGGAATAGGTGCATTCAATTGGCATATTTTTAGTTGGAGTTTCTTTCCAGCTGTGAAAACAAAAACTCTCAACGTGCTTGGTTTCCTTCCGCAGTGAAGTGATAAATGTGATGAGATAAATTTATGAATATCAAACAGAAGATTTTAGGGTTTCTTTTTTTTTATGTCACTTTAATTATCAGGTTTACTAAAAGTCTATTACCGATAAAGTTTATCAGTTAATTTGAATTTGGGCGATAAATTTGAAAAATTCGGTACTTCTATTTTAAAATTTTTGACTCAAAAACTCTTTTTTCTTATAAAAAAATAGTTTATTTCAGGTGGCTGACATAAATTGCTCGGCCTACCTGAAAACTGATGGGTTTCTACCACTTTTATTAACTAAATTTTGCGATCAGCCAAAATTGTAAATTGATCTTTTTTCTAAAAATGAACAATTTCAGTAAACCAAAAACGGCAGCTAACTATGAAGAACTAAAGTCATTTTCGGAATCAGCACCAGCAAATTAACAAACAAACGTGTTTTGTTTCTTGGCACCAAAAATCGTGTTGACCAATGTTATTAAAAACCAATTATAAACTTTGTCTCACTAATTAAAGTAGCTTTACATCATCAAATGGCGCTCTCGGTAAGGGATAAAAATTATTTGAAACTGTAAAGTAGAAATGAAAGTTTCTCATTAGATAATGGGGGACTTCCACAAGGAGATATTAAAGGACATAATACGAAGACGCACGTGGTTCATGCATGATGGGGATCCAGTACATTTTAGTAACATTGCTCGCGATGCACTGGCTGACATCTACCGCAAAAGATGTATAGGCAGACGAGAACCGGTCCCATGGTCTACACGTTGCACCAACACGAATTTAACATTAAACAGAAATATTCGCGTAACTGAAGTTCACTGAGGTCCAGCTTTACTGAATCAGTCTGGCAGTAGGCTTCATGCCATCGACTCGTGTTCAGTTGTTATGCGAGTTTTTGCAATGTTGTGTTGGAACTCTTTACGACGGACATTCTCTAAGGCGAGCACAGGTTTTTTTTTTATTTAGCAATACGCAAGTTTCGAGGGCGATCGAGTATCGATTTAAGTGACGGGAGTTCAGAGCAACAATTACGAGAAAACGCCAAGAAATGTTCAAAACAATCTTCAATCTATCCATATTAACAATCTTCAAACAATTCATCAGCTTTCTCATATGATTGGAACCGAAACAGTAAATGAAATCCAAACAGATCGCAAGTTCGCCCGACATCGTAAATTGATACAAAACCAAAATATTAACCTGAAAACTCGGGTCTTGTTCTTAGATAGCTTCGTCAGATTGAGACTTTCATATGGATGTCATTCATGGCGCCAAACCCGTTCATATATAGCTAAAATGTCGGCTGTATACAACCGCTTCTAAGATCAATGATTAAAAATGGCTTTGAGTGAATTTGGTGAAGACCATCATTCTTTGAACCTTGTAGACTGGCGCGACAGAATCAAAAGCAAAGAACTGTACCAAATAACAGAAACGATGACTTCCAACAGCGGCAACAACTAAAATGCATATCACATGGAACTGGAAGAGAAAATAATGACATAATCATGATGTTGACGTCCCACACTAGTTCAAATGAAAGGTTAGGAAAGAAACGCTCATCAGTACTGGAAGAGGTGATAACAGCTACTGGATTTTATAAACCTATTTTCCTGAAAATTTGTTTTAATAGGTTTTCTTTTGTTTTTGTTTTTTTTGTTTTTGTTTTTTTTTTGTTTTTTTTGTAAATTTCAATCGACAGAAGTACTGGCTGCTCGGTCAATGGATACCGAATGTTTCCTTATAAGGAAACAGCTAATATTATCATTACACTTACCATTGAGACGTGGAAGATATATATGAATCATTTTATACATTCTCAGGAGGATTATTTCGTAAGAGATGAAGGATAGTATATTTATATAATATTCTTTGGAGTAATGTTGTACATTTTTAGACCAGGTTCGGGAGCATTATTATACAATATCACCTCATATTGGAATGAAATAGTAGACATATTACCACTGATGTTGTAAAATTATGTTTTTATAACGGACGCTTTCTTTATTTTAATCAATTTACCCCAAGGAAGGCGATAATGCCACAAAGACTCGAGGCGGCTACTGGGAGTAAAAAAGAATAAGAATACCTTAGAAGGAACCGGAAACAAGGGATAAACCTTTACTCCTGTTCAGGGATAGGCGAACCTATCTACTAATCAAAGAGAAACAGCTGGAATTTATTAGACACATAAGGAGGAAAGAGTGTTTGGAGAATTTAACACTCACAGGACATATCGAATGTAAAGAAGACAAAGGAAGGCAGCAGGCCGCCTACCTGACAGAACGGAGTTAGGAGGCCTGTCAAGGGGACTACCGTCGCTAAGAACTACAAGAGATGGGAGGTTGTGGAGAGTCATTATCGCCCATGTACTGAATGGACACGGTATATAAAAAAGAAACAGAACAATATTTTAGGCTACTGACTACCTGTGCTGAAATCTGACAATTTAAGTACCCATATTCTAAGATTCCTGGGGAATATTGCTTATCTGTGTCATTTTGAGCGTGTGTGCAGGCGAACTTGAAAGAGGAAAGAGACGAGGAAGAGAGAACGAAAAGCCGAAATGCAGTTAGAATGTTAGAAATATGCGTAGCAGACTAGACGAGCTAGGCGGCTTCGAAACAGGGAAACAGAAGCTATAGAACGAAAGGCTGGACCGCGTCTATCAGAGCCGCACACACAGACACAGAGAGACCGGAACAAATGTTGTCTCGTGAAGATAGGAGGTATTATATGCGGGTAATTACTCCAGTGCACTTTCTACACTTTCTCTTTATGACGCTATTTCTTTCTATAATGTATTTTGTCTGCAGCTCTTCCAGTCGAGTTGCATTTTCACACTCTTTTCATTCCTCTCTCTTCACACTGAATTTGCACACAGACACAAAAGGTTTATAATCAAGACAGCTTTTCAAGTATTTAAATTTAATTCTGAATTAATTAAATAAAGAATCAAAGTGTTTATCAAAAGAACTACGATATTTGCTCTTTGATGAAATGAGTCTCAAAGAAAATAAACAAATGGTGTGAAAATAGACCTTCGTTTGTTTTGTTTACGGTATATCAACTTCTTGTGGTTCATTTAATGCCGAATTTGAATTTTCTTGGAAGTTTTGAAGTAATAAAATATGATATATGTTATTCTACTTTCACAATTGAATACATGGTAGATGATACTCAGCTTTTGTGTATATAGATGCCTGTGTGGACATAATTACCACAGGCGGCAATTTTTATGTTGTAGTTTTGTTAAAATTAGATTTTAGTA